CAAGGGCTATCAGTTAGACAATGGGGAAGCCTTGATGTATCCCCGTTTACACATCAGTCACCTGTTTACCTTTAAATCAGGGGGCAGGTGCCATGTCCTCCATGGACCCACACCATGGACAGATAGCTGTGGATCCCAACCCTTAGTTACTTCCCAGGTCACCAGTAATTGAGCCTCCATTACTTTCTGCATTTACTTAGTATCACTGTGTAACTATGTGAACAAACTAAATATTGTTTAGTACCAGTGCTTGAGGTTCAAGGTGAGAAAATAGGCTATGAATGGCAGAGGGAACCAAGTAATTATGGTTTTAGCAGGTCCATGCTATGAGTAACTATTCAAGTTGAAACAGGTATTTTTTTGGTTCTTAACAAGCTTGGAAGCAGGAGTGGCATCCACTTCCATAATAGCGTGCCTCTGGAAACTGTGTGAACCTGGAGAAAGGACGAAAGTTACACAGGAGGTGTCCAGGACTCTCGTTCACAGGGTCGCAAGGAGACGCCTGCGACTCAACGACACTTAACTACAACACCACCAACAATAGCATAGAGAGAAAGAGAGAGCGAGCAGTTGACCTAGCGGACTGAAAGCCATGCTCCCAAGCCAAAGGTGGGTGACTGTGGTGGACAGTGTTTGGTGGAGCTCCCTGATTAAAACAAGCTTGGAAGCAGGACTGGCATCCACTTCCGTAATGGCTTGCCTCTGGAAACCCTATGAAGAAAGGGCGAAAGTTGTACAGGAGATGTCTAGGACTTTGATTCGTAGGGTCGCTAGGAGTCGCTTGTGACTCAACGGCACTTAACAGCAACAATAATATATTACTAAATAGCCTACTCTCTGTTAGATCTTATATCATATTACTGTTCTCTCATGTTTTTGTTAGGAGCCATCAGGTCAACTGTAACTCATAGCAAATATGCCGATAATAAAAGGTATATTAGCAGCTCCAAATTATTTTTCTGATTATAAAAATTGTCCACCAAAAAAGAAAAGAGAAAATAGTCCAAATAAGAGAAGATGTTCAGCTCTATCATGAAGATCTCTCAAGGTGCAGTGGTCACCTGTTGGAATCTACTCGTTACCCAGCTGGAGAAAGATGTCTGTTCCCATCAAGATTGATAGCCTTGGCTGAGTACTCTGCATTCTCAGGGAGGTGGGGCTGGGATGTGCTGAACTCCGGTGTCGTCTGCTCAGCTTCGTGCTCTGCTGACTTGAAGGTGGTTAGTGCTAATCCACTAGCAAGCGGATGGGCGCTTTCCTGGTAGGAACACAGCTGGTACAGGGGCCCTGTGGTTTACAATGGGCTCTGCAGTCTTTTTGGTTGGTTTGGAATACTTTATACTGTTATTTCCCCATCCCTTCACAACCACACACGAGACTTTTCCTATCCCTGTCCTCTGGCGTTGCTCTTCTCCACATATTTAGGAGAACTCACTTGAGTGCCTCCGCCCAGCCCTCTGAAGAACAGACCTGAATTCTGTCCTGTGCTGTCCCATCCTCTCCGTCTCTAACACGCTTGAGCCCATTAGTACTATCACCGGGTCACTCCATCTGGTTGCATGTCTTCCTCTCTCACACTGACCTTCCCAAACATCATGTCCCTCTCAAAGGACTGACTCCTCTTAACAACATGCCCGAAGTGTGTGAGACAAAACCTCACCATCTGTGCCTCCAGGGAGCAGTCTGGCTGCACCTTCCCCAGGATGTATCCGTATGTTCCTTTGACAGCCTGTGGGTATTCAGTGCTCTTCTCCTGGAACTTAAGTAGACAGTGCTGGTTTGTAACCTACTTTTCCCCCCGTCTAATATTTTGAGATTTTTCATTATTGTATCAAAACATTTTTTTAAAATTATTTGTTTATTGTGTTTTCTGTTATGATCTACACAGCAGTTTACAATAATTTCTACACAAGGAAGTCGTTCACTGACATTGGTGATGGTCTTTAGATGTCTAAAAGTCTTCATATTCCCAGTCTGGTGGCGCCATTCTGATGAATCTGTTTCTCCTGCTCCCTTATATTCTCATATTTATTTTAAAGAAATTGTTGACCATTTGGTCTCTAAAGGAGCATAGCCCTCACAGATGATTTCTTTCTTGATGTTAAACTTTTATTGTTTTTGAAAGTGGACAAAACAAACATTTCAGAAACAAATCAGCCATTTCAGAAAGTGCAGTTCATTGACAACGATTGTGTTCTTCAAGTTGTGAGCTACCTTCTCTCCTTCTGTGAGTCTTCCTTCCCAGCTGATACCAGCTCACTGCCCTATAAAGTGCCCACCTGATCTTTCCAGTTGATGTTGCCATTTGAACCCCCAATCTTTGTTGATACTATTTAATATTTGATTATAAGTTTGGACCAAAGTCTTTTATTATCAACCTCCTATTCTTGGACCATACCTTCTTCACACAACTAGTAATACTCCCAGGTTTTTGTTTCTTTAAATAACGTTATTGTTGTTACTGTGTGCTGTTGAGTCAGAACTGACTCTTGCCGACCCTCCATTGAGCTTTCAGACATTGTAAATCACACGAGAGGTTTTTTTAGGTCAGTTTTTCAGATGATGATAATGGTGTACAGGTCTTAATATGTCTTAGAATTGAGTGTAAGTTCTTGGCAGTAAAATTAACTAAAAATTAATAAATATACTTACTCTCATGTAGTAAGTACAATTGTTTTCATAGTTTTTGGAAGGCTTGCATTCTCTTTGGGATTTTTTTAAAACTTGTTGTTGTTGTTGTTGATGATGGCCTTCGAGTCAAGCAGGACTCATAGCGACCCAATGAAAAAAAGGCCTGAAGCCCCTCTGCAACTATCGACATTTATCAAAGTTCATAGAGTTTCTGGAGGCAAGTTGTTTAGGAAGTGGATGCCACTCCTAAGCTTATGTACATTTAAATTCAGGCTTTTTAGTATACTGTTTTGTGAGTTTTGACAGATACTTGCAGTTGTATAACCACCATTACAAAATACTAACTAGTTTCATCCTTTTGCCCCTTGACTATAAAATAAATTTATTTTAAATTTGGAAACTATTAAGAGGCAAAAATGATGGGCTAGAAGATGTTCAGAGGCTTATAAGCCTTGTTTATATTTGCTGAATGTTTCTCTGACCTCCTGTGTCCTACCTAATATAAACACGCATACATATATTCTTAATGTTTATAGTCCATTTTTAAAAATTGCTGTCTGTCACTATCATCAGATAATTTTAATAGCTACATATATAACTGCACAGCAGTATTTTATGTTAACTGTTGAATTGGTTTGTGTTTCTTTGTGATTCTAAACAAACCTGTAATGAACATCTTTGGAGACTGTCATCATTAGTGTTTCTACGTTTCCAAGCATGTGGACAGTTGTCAAGATTTGCTACAGTTTGTGAAAATGAGCTTTTGGGGTTTTATTAAATTACTAATTTCCATTCCAACCAGCCATGCAAAGGAGAGCCTGTGTTCTTGTATCCTTGCCAATATTGTATTAGGATTTTATATTTTTGTCAGTTTGATAGCTGAATAATGGAATCTTATTATTTTCATTTACCTTTTTTTTTGAAAATTTCTCCTGTACTTGGACTTTTTTTCATGTGTGTGATTGATATTTGTGTTTCTTTTGTGAATTGCTAATCATTATCATTCGTATATTTTTCCTTTTGTAAGTGTTGGCTTATTTTTTTAGAGTCTGTTTTAATAACATTAAAGTTAAATGTTTCAGTTTGTCAATTGCTTTCGCTTTTGTCTTTTACAATATGTGGCGCTGTGTGTGTGTTTTTTTAAATAGAGTTTCTTGTACGTTCATTATTTCCCTGTTTTTCTTTGTATGTGTGTCTGTTGATGTCAAAAGCCTTTTCTCTTTTAATCATGTTGTTGTTGTTAAGTGCCGTTGAGTCATAGATGACGCATAGCGACCCTATGAATGAAAGACCTGAACAGTTGTATAACTTTCATCGTTTCTCCAAGTTCATAGAGTTTCCGGAGGCAAGCTATTTCAGAAGTAGATGCTACCCCTGCTTCCAAGCTTTAGTCTGGAAGCTCCACAAAACACTGTCCACCATGGGTAACCATTTTCACATTTGATGCATCAGTGTCACAGTCTTCAGCATCATCGCAACCACAAGTTACCTCTGTACAGTCTCATAGGAAAACAAACACAAACCACTGGTTCTGATTTATAGCCGCCCTGGAGGACAGAGTGCCCCATACGATGTTGAAGGCATGAATCTATATGGAAGAGAGCTCTTGTGGCGAGAGAAAGATGGCCATTTCCTGCCATGCAGTTGAGTTACAGCCTCTGCAACCCTGCCCCAAAGCAAGAGATTCGAATCAGTGAGCTGCTCCGTGAGAGAAAGACAGCCTTCTCCTGCCATGCAGTCGAGTTAAAGCCTCTGCAGCCCTGTCAGAGAGCCAGCTAGGAGTCCATTCTCACTTGATGGCCAATAACAACAACAGTCTCTACGGGCACAAACCGCCTTACCCTTTTGCTGCCAAACTGCTGGTGGTGGATTTAAATCAATCGCTCGGTTTCCACACCAAGCACCGTAATCACTGAAGCACCAGGGCTGCTCCTTCTGGAGTGTACATTCATGTATGTTTCCTTCAGTTTTGTTTGTCCAAAAGATTTAGCTCCCTTTGTCTCCCCCCACCCCCATTACTGAAAAAGTAGTAAGGCTTTCACTGCCTAAAATCCCAAACTGTAGATTTTAGCTTAAACATGAATATGCATTTTTGTCTAATCTTGGTTTTACGTTTGGTCCTGTATGTCCATATGATTTCAAATCTCATGAACTGTCTCTTGAACTCTTATGTTCAGACTATAGTAGCACTGGTAACATTTTAGATTGTCCGAACTCAAACACGCTCTCGTGGTTTTACCTATATTGCCTTTTTTGGTTTGCTCTTGGATGGATATTTATCCAATTTCTCTGGGGTATTAGGAAGGAGCAGTGTTTGTATTACTAATTGTCTGTCTGTCTGTCTGTCTGTCTGTTTTTACATGCAGCAGGAGATTGAAGACAAAGTAAGTCCCAAAGCCTTGTTGGGTGTTGAGTGGGTTCTCCTCGGCCACCAGCCTCGCCTCATACATAAAACTCGACTCTCCCAGGGCTCCTGCATGGCTCTGCATTTGTGGGTTAATTCTGTTTGCTTGAGTCTTAAAATCCCTAGTTAGGCATGAATTCCACATTCCCCTAGCAACCTGTCCTGGGTTCATGACTTTTTAAACTTAGCTCATGTAGAAAGGTCCCTGTCTTCAGAGAGGGAGTCAGGTTAACAGGGTAGTTGAGAAACGACAGTTTGAGAAAGGACTTTTTACTAATTGTGAGAAACATTCTTAAATAACTATCTTCATTCTTTTTTCCAAGAATCAGAATTACTTAAAAAAAAATATGATCACTTATAAGTGGGCTAACCAGTAGTTTATTAATTCATCACCTAGAAGATTGTAGCAGGCTTTTTACCCAGTTCTCCTCCCCGAAGACAGTTACTAGTGCATGATAAAAAGCAAGCACACAAAAATAGGAAATAGAATAGTATGTGGCTTTGTAAGCAGATTTCACTGGATAATGTCAAGGTCCTCAAATCATTGAGGTTTTGTATAGAATGTTCTAGAATCCTATTCTTGTTCCAGTGAAAAGGTTAATAAGCACAGGTATGAACTCAGAAGTTTTAGCTTGCAAAACAGGAGTCCTGGAAATTACCCCTTGAGAGAGAAGTTAAATGAAATGGTCTGTGGTATTCTGTATTCTGAAATCCCAAAATTTATTTGGACAAAGTAGGACACAGCTGTTACAGGAAGGCAAAACAGTGGCGACTCATTCTTTACGGTCAAAAGCAGCAATCATCATCTTATTAATGCATTTCTATAGCAGAGGCCTAATAGCAAACCCCGTCAGCTCTAGAGCTCATTTCTAATGTGATTTATACTTGACTTTGACTTTGCTGTTGCTGCTCTTTCTCGATACAGTATTTTTGCTCCTTTCTTTTTTTAGGCTAAGCAGCTGGAAGAGAAAGATCGGCTGATCAAGAAACAGGATGAGTTCTACAAGGAGCAGCTGGCGAGACTGGAGGAGAGGGTACGGCACTTTCTTGTCCTCGAATCTTTGCTGTTACCACATTCACAACTTTATATTATTTAAAGCTCAACAAATTAGTACAGTAACTGCCTTGCTTCGTTCGCACGTGGCCAGGAAGTGAAGAAGCCAAGCAGGCGTGTCGTGCTTTCAGAGAATGTGGTTTGCTCTTTGGTAAATTTTGTTGTGTCTGTGCTCCTGATTCCTTGATGCATTTTGCCACTTGGGAGCTCACCACCTGTTTTTCCTTAAACGTGTAGAAACTGCATTGCCTCCAGGTCAAGGAGTAGAGTGCTTTTCTTAACTCTGAGACACTGATTAACCTTAATGAGTTCATGCTTAGACGTTGTCGGGAAGGAAAGGGTACATTGTCACGAAAAAGCTCCGTTTCCTGGCCATTTGTGGCTGAGAACTGATTATCCCTCTAAAGAGTGGTAGAGAGAGGCTGAACACAGGCCATTGAGTGGAGAGCATATGGTCAAGTGATAGGTGCCGTACCTCTAGTTAAGATGGACCACATGTCCTGGAATCCAACAGAGATGTGGAGAAGAGTGATGGGAAAGAAAAAGTGACTGGGTGTAATAGGGTGTGAACACCTGCCTAGGAGCGCCATTGATGGAGTGGATTTGGTGTCTACAATAATTTCCTATGTAGACTATGAGGATACACAGCTAGCTTTCTCTACCTTTTGATTGGAATCATCCCTGAAAAGAAAAAAAGATTTGTTTAGAATATTTTTTAAAAAAGTAGAAAACCATGAGAAATGTACCATGAAACCACTGACCACAGTTATCCCTGTTAAATGGCTGTTGGCCTGTTTCTGCTTGCCATTGCCTGAAGGGTTTCTTCAGTGTCTCACTAAAGCCTCACTAGGGGTTTCTTGAAATAAGCTAAACTTTCATTCGGCAGAATTCTACTTAATTACCTGAGATATACCAAGCCTGGGCTAGTGCCAGAGACAGAGAAGTGATCAAAATGAACTAACACCTGCTTATTGAATTGATTAAATGCATTGAAGAGTCAGCACATGTATTGGATGCCAATCTTGGTGCTCTGGGAAATGGAATCCCAGGGCCAAGATGGGGCGGTTGTGTGCAGAGCCAAGTCCCAGCCAGTGATGTGGAGCTAACAAGTGTCAGAGCCCAAAGGTCAAAGATGTGCTTAGATTGCTGTTGGAGAGGCCAGAGGGCTTGCAAGGGAAAGAGCATTCAGGAGGTGGGCAAGTGCTCAAGCTAGAGACTGGTAAGAGGTCGCGGCAGTAGTGACGAAGAGAGGTGGTCATAGCGTGGGCCCAGAAGGCAGCAGTGGACGTGATGACATGTTGGTTGTACATTTCAGAGGTTGAGCTGATGGATCTGTTAATGGCTTTGAACGTCAGTTTGAAGGAAAAGATAGATGCGAAGATCTCCTTCGTTTGCAAGGAAGGAGAAGGTTAGATTTTGTTTTCTCCCCATAGGAAGAAACGCACATTCTAGATCACAACGGAGATGATGGAGGAGATCAGGAGTTTGAGTCTAGATTTGCTTCATTTACCTCTTAAGAAACCCATGTAGAGCTGTCCATCGCTATGTGGCGTGAAGGTTAGGACCACAGGGAAGCAGGCATCTCTTTTTTCTTTTGGATGAAGGACCAAAGAATAAAAGTGTGTTAGGCTTTTCAGGCCACACAGACTCTCCACCACTAGTCTGCTTTTAACATGAAAGCCGACGAAGATGATATGCAAATGAGTGAGCGTGGCAGGCTTCCAGTTTACGGCCACTGAAATTTTAATTTTATATCATTTTCGCATGTCACAAAGTAGTCTTCTTTTGATATTTTCCCAACCATTTTTAAAAAATGTAAAAAGTTATTCTTAGTGAGAGGGCTGTACAGGGACAGACGGTAGGCTAGGATTGGCACGTGAGCTGGCTGCAAGACCCCTGCTTTGTGGCCCAGGCACCATCGCTGCATAACATTTACCTGCTATATGACTTAGGGTATCTTCCTCAGTTATAAGAGGAGGATTCCATGGTGCCACTTTATTAGTTTGTCAAATGAGTTATTTGTCAGATACCTCCTCTCACCTTAGGACCACAAAGTGGTTTTCAGTGCTGAGTATTCATCAGTTGCAGCTGTTCTTTTTCTACCTTGAAAATGGTCATGGCTGACCATTAGCAAATGTTAAACTGATAAATGAATGGCACTAAATTCTCTGAGGTGATTTGCCCAATACTTGCTTTATTCCCCACCCGATGATCATCTCCTTTGCCATTTCCATATGTAGCAGTACTGTGTTGGGTGCCTTTTAAAAATTCTCCAACGATCACTGCACAAAGAGTGAAGACAAGCATAGAAGAATATTCACCTCTTTCTATCAGCCACCAATCTCATTAGACATCACGCGATTAGCGCAAAGGAAGGGGATGGTTTGCTGTTGGCAGATTAAGCTGGTCTGCTCAGCCAGGAAGCTGTTGTTTCTGGCAGGAGATAGCACATGTAGTAGGAGATAGATGAGTACACTCTGCTGCAGATCAAATCACTGGGATTAGTGCCGTACGCTGCAATCATACTGTCTCTTCATCTTTGAAGGTCAGGCTGGAGAGTTGTTGCTGAGGCATCTTATCCAAATGCTGGTCTCACCACTGAGCTCAGAAGCATCGTGCAATGACGTAATCCCACTGGGCTCAGTTAGTACATCCTAGCGCCATGTTTAATAGCACGGTGTACTCGAACACGGGGCTTGGATGCAGAAGGCGTGATGTGGCCATCTAGACGTTGGCCATTCATCTTCTTTCCTTTGTTCTCTGGTTCTTCATCCCAAAGAGGTCATAGCAGCATATTCTTTGCTCATAAGGATGGGTTATTGAGGAGACCCGATCAGTTGATGTGTATAAAAGGCCTTTGAAAATGGGGACGACGTGGACACATGGACACAACTGCCATTAAGGGAAATCTGCTTACCGTCCTTTGTGCACAAGATACTGCCAGGCACAGAAGTGCCTGTTCTGCTGCTTCTCAGAGTCGGCTGCCCGTTTCCACTGAGGCCCGTTTTTATTACTGCCATTCCTAAAGTACCTAAATTGAATTTGGTCCGGTTGGATTTCATCCAGGAACTAATATTTGAAAGGCATTTGCGTCTGTAATGATGAGGTATTTTCAAGGCTTAGTGCAAAAAAAAAAAAAAAATAGGTAACCAGGTTTTCTCTTAAGCGATGGAGACAGTGAAAAGTATGATATCCAACCATTTCTGTTAGGATTTATGCACATATCCTGTACTACATGATGCTAAATGGTTGACTCCAATGACATAGAATATAAGGGGAAAATAACATTTACTGAATGCCTCCTGTACTGTGTAACTGTGGCTGCCCTGTTAAGTTCAAACACATATCTTCTTCCGAAAGCACATCTCTTCAGTGCTGCAGAGAACTTCCAGCATTGCTTCCTACATAACAACGTCTTCCTCTGTTGTAACTAAATGAAATAATGACCCTGTAAAGCATGTGCCTCGCCGAATGCCATTGAGTGGAGGGGACATCAGTAAACATGCAGAATCATGGCAAGGTGGTGTCCAAAATAACCTTACCAGCTGCCCAGCAGCTAGGTTAACACATAGAATTGTTATATACATATACATTACTCCTTTTTTGATGACTCCTTCCATGAACCACCCATCTTCACTGGTTTGGGACTGACCTCTTTTGAGAAGATAAACCACAGCCCACTAATCATGTGAAGCACATTCAATTCAAGAATACAGCTTTGCCTCTTGGATCCATTTCTGTAGACTGTTCTTCAGTGAGGCCGTGCCAACGTGTGATTTGAGCTGTCTCCTCCCAGAGAGTCCTATTGATGAGTCCACCAGGAGCCGGAGCTAATTCCCTGCTTCCACTGACTGGTGATGGCTAATCAGTATAATTTAACTGGACTGACCTCACTCTTCTCAGAACCATTAGTCAGAAGCAGGAATTCTTTACCAGGAAAGAAGGTCAAAGCCGTTTGAAAAGTTTTATGCGTCCTTATTTCGTAGTCACTCAGATGTTACCAGCCTATCCAGCAGCCTTGACATAGAGGTGAAGTAAACTTTTAATCTCTTAAGAACATTTTAAGTGTCACATTGAGGTGTTTGCTTAATTGAGAGAGACGTGGAGAGCACTAATCCCTGATTGTTGGTGTGGTGAGAGCAGCCTCTGGGCAGCGTTCAGAGAGCAGGTCTTGAGCATTTTAAGGAGTCTTTGTCTAGTTCCCCCAGGGCCTTCTCCACAATGTTTTACACTCTTCCTGCTGCCACCATTTCTTCTTTGGGAATTAGGATTAGCTATCTCTGTTTGTCTTATAAACTCCTTGAGGACAGAGGTCATTTCTTTTTCTTTCTGGATCTTCCACAGCTCACACATAGCCTTCTGTATTGGATGAAGTGTAGATTCTCAAAATCAATCCCATAGTGTTACTGTAACAATTAGGTTATAATATCTTAAACATAGATTTTTCACCTTCTTCCTAATCATTTAAATGACTTAAATCAATCTCCTGAAAAAATTTTAAGTGTAATGTGTTGCTAATGTTTGTGTACTGTTAAAATATGTGTACATCATCACAGTAATTGCCGTTATTGTACTGGATGCATCACCCACTATTGTTCTAAGCCGTTGAGTCGGAATAGACATGTAGCCGGCCTCCAGAGGGTTTTTGCATCTTCCTCCCTCAAAACGCTGGTGAATTCGAACTGTATGCCTTTGGATTGACAGCATAGCTTCTTATCATTGAGCCACCAGCGCTCCCTCACTGCACACTGGACACTTGCTCTATCTGAAAACAACCTTGTAAGTCTGTCGACTCGGTGGTTTAGAGGGTGATCCTAAGGCTTACAGCAGCTTGTTAAAAACTCACAGCCAAATCCCAACAGGTGTGTGTTTGGACCAGGTCACAAATCTGTGCCGTCCACTGCTGCCCGGTATTGTCCGGAGTTAATCCCCATCGGCCCTGTGCTTGAGACGTGAAGTTCTGCCCAGGTCTTGTTAGTT